TGGAAATGGCAAAAACATATTTTCGATCATAATGGTCTCAGCCCTTAAAATGGTTTCACAATTTGTTTTAACTACTTAATTAATTCGTTTTTATTTCTGATTCATGACTGAAATAACTTCACATAGAAGGCTGAGCTGCATCTTATATGGATCTTCAGGTTCCAAGCTTTCTTATGATGTACACTACCTCCAAGTCCTCCATACATGACTTTGTATCTACCCCTTTTAATTGCCAGTCCCACTCACTTACCATTCTGAAAATGAGAGGGGTTAAAGGTAGAAAGAGAGTGTTCAAATGAATTAGTTTCAATTGAACTTGACTTTCCGTTTCGAGGTGGGCAGCAACCAAAGCAGGCAGAGAAATGCACCGATTTACGAGACGTGCTGAATGATGCCAACATCTAAGAAGATGCAAGATGGAAAAAAGAAAGTGACAAAAGGGCCAATTTGAATCTCAAGGTCTTATACCGATTCGTTTGTTTATGCTGTTTTCATTCTCCACGCATGCACACCTTTGAGTGTGTGCTTTAAGTTTCAAAAAGGAAAACGTTTTAGCAGTTTCCAATTTGTGTCGTCGTGAAGCTCTGCTCTTTGTGAATCTTTCATTACAAATGGCTGTTTATGGAAGCCAAAATCAGCATGAAAGTCACAGTTTTTTAAGTTATTGTTAAAGTTTAAAGCCAGAAAACTGAAAACAAATCAGAACAACCTTTCATTAAAACATGGTTATATATGAATGTTTTTTAAAGTACATGTGTAGCACATCTTCCAGATGTGTGTTGGTTTGTGGGGTCGAAGAACAAATATCCTTTTGCACAAACACAAATTAAACTTGTTGTCATCTACTGCTGCTTTCCCCTTTGATTTTCCTTCATCCCCTTTTTGTTGGTGTCGTTGAGGTGTCTTTCCCCAGACATGTAATAATATTGTATTGAACTAGTGTTAATTTGTTCAAAGCCACCATGAAATTATATCTGTGAAAAAAACCGAGGGATGCTCAGTGTCAGGTAGTGCACGTATGAGTGGAATAAACCGAGGCACACAAGATGAACAAAGAGGAAGGATGAAAGAGAGATCAAGAGTGTGAAGAGAGGCGGGAATTGTGACATTTTCAGGCAATACACGAAGTAGAACTTAATCTATACATCTCTAAAAACAGCGTGTTTTTGTGAACGATACAAATGTACTACTATTTTGGAACACCTTGTCACATTTTGCAGAGACTAGTCATTACTGGAGTGACAAAAGTGACACATTAAGGTAGCCGTCAAAACTCATTTTTCATTTTCTATGATCTCATTTTCTGTGTATGTTTTTCTTTAGCGATTGTGATGAGCGAACAAAGAAAGCCATCTTTTAGTTGTGATTTGATTGCAAGGGAAAATCATTTTCTATACTCATAAAATTGACAGGAAAAAGGGACAGGATGTACCACAGAGATGAAAAGTCAATAGATAAATAAACTTGTGATGCTGGAACTGTCATGTCTTCATCCTTTCATTTACTTCTGTCTGTGACTGTTGATTACATCGTGCTTTAACTAAATCCCTTAAGAGGTCTTGTTTTTTTCCTCCAGTCTGTCCGTCTCATTACAATACAATATGAAAATTGGATAAAGGTTGACTATTCCTACAGGGATTAGGAGGCCGCACTCCACCAACCCAGCCAAGAACCGATTGACAAACAAAAATGACTCATGAGGTTTGTTTAATAATTAACTCTCTTAATTAAGTTTCTAGGTTAATTGGCTGCATAAAGATTGGTGGCATGCCAGGTAAACGCCCCTGAGGATTATGGGCATGTTGTGCTTTGTTGTGTATTTACAGTATTGCCCAATTGAGCTGTAAATTGTTGTAAACGGGATGATTTACTGGCTGATGGGTTCAAAAATGCTTAATTGTATTGGATGTAATCTTCAATCTTAATTGAGTTGAATTTTCATTTGCAAATAAACCTTTTAAATGATTAATTGAGATCAAAGAAAGCCGAACGCTGGCCAACTGCTGTGAATGTATATGTGTGTGGCTGGTTTGCATTAGGAAACTATATAGGTGATATTACTCTTAAGTGATTACTAAAACTGTGCCACTCCTTTACCTCTTCACACACACACACACACACACACACACACACACACACCACACACACACACACACACACACACACACACACATCACACACACACACACACACACACACACACACACATCACACACACACACACACACACTCCCACCTTAATGTTGCATAGTAATGCCCCCACACTCCCACCTTGCAGTATTGATCGGTTGCCAGAGGACACAAGGTCAAGTCGCATGGTGTCAATATTTAAACCAGCCCTCAGCACTGGGGACCTCTACCATAACCTCATTAATATGGGGGTCTGCTCTTCTCAAATACTCTCCTGGCACAGAGAAAGGTCGACTTCAGGAATGAGGGGATGCATACCCACGTCGACAGTACGCTTGCACCCACACGCAAAGAGCTGCTGAAATAGACAAGGAATATGATATGTACACAAATACATCTTGCATCTTTACTGATTGTTTTAATGTATTTCCTATTGAAACAGGAAGTTGCTTTGATACATTGCAGAGTGATTTTAACATACTCAACCTGTCAGGTGATGCATTATCACAACTGGCTGTATAAATATATGCTATGCAGATGCAGAATTCTCTGTTTGTTGGGGAGCATGTTATATTTTGTGGATATCTTCTTCATCACTGTTTTAGCAGCTAACTTATCATCATGCCTGAGCACCCTGGGTGAAAATAAGCCACTGTTTGGGATAATTGTCCATTTCCCCTTGTCTTAAAGGTGGGGTAGGTAAGTTTGAGAAACCGGCTCGAGATATATTCCATGGAATGCTCTTAACATCCCGATAGCAATGAATATCTGAAGTGCTTTGACAAAAAATCCATAAACAATTTCATCTGTGGAAGCCGTAGTACTGTAAAAAGCACGACCAATCATCTGAGCCGGCCCGGCTAAAGTAACTGGATGGCCTACCTGCCTGTCAGCCTTCCATCTGGGCACAAACTTACCTCGTGCCCTCATTGGTCATGTGCGCGTACGTGTGTGTTGGAGGAGGGACTCTGTAAGGAAGTGGCAGATTTTTTCCGGTTGTGTATTTTCAAATTCTGCGGACTCGAGCTGGTTTCTCCAAAATTACCTACCCTACCTTTAAGCATGCTTTTCTACAGTATAATACACACACACACACACAACACACACACACACACACACACACACACACACACACACACACACACACACACACAACACACACACACACACACACACACACACACACACACACACACACACACACACACACACACACACACACACACACACACGCAGAATGGTGTGCAGCTTTGTGCCTGACTGTTTGTTTAATCACCCATTCTACCACTCAATCACTTACCCAATAACAACACAGTCAAGGGGGCCCTGAGGCTCCCACAGACAGTTTAATTCTCAATTACAGTCCATTGTAATCAATTGTTGCAGCTGCTGTAACTGCTGCCCTCCCTACCACGCTGTTCCTACTCTGGTCTTATCTTTCTACAGAGACTGTCACGAGGAAGGCCCAGCTCCATCAATAGGGACGCTCACCCTCTGCTGTTTTCGCACAAACAGTCACGTGTCCAGCTAAAAGTTTGTGTCAGCAAGCTTTCCTTCAATCATCTATTCTAGTGCTTCATTTACACAGCAGTCTGTAGGCAACACACACACTCTGCACTGTGTGAGAAGAAAGGCTTGCCACATTCCAGATCTTACAGTTACCATTAAAGACAGTTTAACTCTCATTCACACATTTCGCTCCGTACGCCGCCTCTCTAGAGAGTGATGGAGGTCACAATGAGCCACGAGAGGGAAGGAAGAGGCTGAGAGGGAAATAGAGAACAGGCATGCTATTCCTTTTTTCAATATTTAATAAGGGTATTCGGAAATTAAACTACAAATGTATACTAAACTGCCCTACAGGAGCAGAAGGGGTTTGGGGGATTGGGGGCCTTAATAAACCCTCATTTAAGTTTTGTTTTTTTGGCAGAATATTCTATTTTAAACCAATCATGTCACACAATACCTAAAACATGCACATGTTTTACTTTAGAACAATCTGGAAGCACAGAGCTACAAACAAAATGTGTCCATTTCAACTAATAACCTTGTACAACAGATTATAGTTTTATAAATTACATATATTATTTAAATGTTCTTGTGTTGTTATTGTCCTCATTTCTTTGGTTCTGAATTATTAACATGACGTATAAAGTATATCTTTTTAATTATAGCATACTGTAAGAGACCTTGGGGTAATTGCATTAGCTGAGATTAGCTGCATCCACCTCCCTAGTTAGTTTTACCTACAGGGTTATGACTAGTTCAAATCTACAACTTGCCACACATGTGTGAAAGACTTAATGTATTTCCTCTGTAAATTGGCCATAATAATAGCCATAATAAAGTGACTTATACTGTGGCTTGGCTAAGATTTTAGCAAGTTAAGTCTAAAATATTTAAAAAGTAAATACCAGTACTTACTCAAAATTAACAATTATGTGTACTGTAAGTTCACTTTGTAAGACTGCTGCAATTATGGTTGTTTTTGGAGAAAATGCATGTTTTCTAACGCATGGGTGTCAAACTAAATTTCATCACGGGCCACATTAGCATTATGGTTGCATTCAAAGGACTAGTTCTAACTTTAAGACCATATAAATATACTTATATATATATATAATATATATTAAATAACGTATTATTGGCTCTGCATTGGATTATTATCAGTTCTGGTAATAACTTCATAAATAATTACGTCTGAAAGCAGAAGTCTAGGGCAAATAATTGAAAGTAAATATTCAACAATTGCACCAATTGTATTGTATATCATATTATTTCCAAGCTCTTGCAGGCCACATAAAATGAGGCCAAATCCTTCAAACATATAGCTCTCAATCTTTCAATAGAAGTTATCATATTGTCCTCACCTGTACTCCAGGGAGAAGCGGGTCAGCTCAGTGTTGTTGTGGATCCATTTGAACTCCAGTGGCCAGCTTCCCTCAGCCATACAGGTCAGAACCAGCCTGTTGCGTTCCAGATGGAGCTGGCTGCGCACCGGCTCCGTCTTGAAGTAGGGAGGCACGTCATCTGTAAATATAGAGCAGAATTTGCCATTGAAGTTTTGCTTTTGAAGCTACCTCAAAAGCATCCGAATAAAGAACACAGACTCTTAAATCCCACACACATCCATGAAGCCAGAGGCACAAATGTGTGAATAAAAACAGAGTAAAGAATGACAGGACAAAAGAGCGAGAAGATAAGAGGGATAACTCTGAACTCATCTTTCATCCTGATGAGGTAGGCATAGTAGATGAGGAGCAAACATGGAGTTGTCAAAGTACTGAAACGCATCAGAAGGAACAAACTGGCACAAAGAGGCTTTGTTGATGCTTACAGCTAGGGCTGCTCGATTATGGCAACAATCATAATCTGGATTATTTGGGTCAATAATTGTAATTGCGATGATTAAATGCGATTATTCATTGACTTTGAAAACATCCATTTATTGGAGAAAAAAATGTGAACAGTATGTTTTTAACAGTTGATTACCCTGAACTTTAAGTATAATTCAACTGAAAAACCAAAAAATATATATTTAAAAAAATAAAAAAAATAAAAGTAATAATAAAAGAATAATCGTTTTATTTTGATTACGTTGTTTTCGTAATCGTTGCAAGCCATAATCGTAATCGCGATTAAAATACGATTAATCGAGCAGCCCTAGCTATCTGACTGTAACAGATTGTAGATGGTCAGATGCTGGGATATCACCTAAGACAAAGCAAACTCTGCTGAATTAGCTCATCACTGATATGTAAACAGGAAGCTGCCAAACTCGATGGAAAACCCTTCCTGGACGTGTCTTATTTGGAATATGTGAGCGAGGCAGTGTTGTTGGGAGATGTTGACTTGTTCTGGGAGAGTGTCAGAGATGTCTGGCTAACAGGGAGGTGGAAGCGGAGGCATCAAGTGGAGAAAGATTGCTCCTGTGTCTCCCTGCTCTGTGTGTGTGTGTGTCACTCATTGGCACGGGGCACTACTTTCCTTCCAGCTAGACGGAGCAGATAGGAGAGGAGCAAAGCCGAGGAGGAGGCATGAAATCCTTTCATCATTCGTTCGCCTCCACTCCGTTTCGCTCTGTCTTTCGCTCTTTCTGTGTTTCTTCCGCACGCTCTGTTGAGTGTGAAGGAACGGATTGAGGAAGACCAGCGAGAACTTCTCCACAGGGTGATGCACATGGCAACACACACACACACACACACACACACACACACAACACACACACACACACACACACACACAACACACACACACACACACACACACACACCACACACACAACACACACACACACACACACACACACACACACACACACACACACACACACACACACACACACACACACACACACAATGACTTTTATATCTCAATCAAACAGCCTCACACGCAGTCTGTCAAAGTCCCTCGCAGTTTTCTCACCGGTGATAAATGATGCGAGAATGGAGAGCTTACTTGATGATCATTGTAAATATAGAACACATTAATTGGATGGTTGGATAATATAATTATCAAATTGACTGATAATCAGGCATTGAAATTAAACTGTCAGAATGATCTATAGTGCTGATATTTTGTTCTTCCACCGATAGGAGGAATAATGAGCGGGAATATAACAAATGAAGGTAGAAAAGATGATTTGCAAGCTTTTCACTTTCACTCAACTGAGACTTCTCGATTTATACGACTAATTTGATGACGACATATTTTTGTAATCACACTACCAGTGCAGTGTGAGGTATCTTATCACGGAGGTAGACAACAGGGTAAAAGCCTACTTGGTTTTTCTGTTCATTATGGTGTCATTTGAAGATGAAGTAGTAGTTGTTAACTCTATTCCACTTTTAAAGTGTATTTTAATGTTGGACACGCTCCAACACTACATTCAGAGGCAAATAGTGTACTTTTTACTCACTCACATGTATTCAACACTCACATTTGCTTTGTACATATAAAGCACATGATATACTGATGTGTTAAAATGCAGTAATGTATCTACATTTTGTCTACATTGACAAACTCCAATAAACTTACATATTATTGAAGAACACTGAATAGTATAATAACTATAATAATGTAATACTTTGAAAAGATCATGTATGCATAAAGAATACTTTAACTTTTGAACCTTGAAGTACAATCAGCTCATAATACTTCTTTACTTTATATTATTCCAAAATGAGCCATTGTGCTGAATGAGTATTTTTACTTTTTGTACTTTAAGTACATTTTGCTGCTAATACTTTTATACTTATACTTAGTAACATTCCACTGCAGTATCAATACTTTTATTTCCCTTGGAATAAGATGTGAGTATTTCTTTCTCCACTGCAAATAGGTGTGCTGTTAAAGAGCAACACAAACGAGAGCCTCCAAAACAAATAATAACCTTTACAAATGATAACCTTGTGAAGGCAGAATTTATTACAGAAATATTTCTGAGTTTTATTTGTGTGCACCTTCATAACTTGTCTCTCTTTGTGGATTGTTTTTAAGTTACCGTGTGTTGAGAAATCCAAGGATATAAAGCTACACACACAATGGTGAATTAGGAGGAAAATCAAGAGAAATTAAAAGCATATAAATAGTATTTGTTTGCGGTTCAAAAGTGCACGACATATCTGTATAAACCAATAATGAATATTCATACATTCCAGCACCTTCTTGTTGCATATTTATGAACAGTACGTTGGTGCATCTGACTTCTGAGCGCTGTGCTAACCCAGAGGCAGGGCATGAATACATATTTACAACAAATAGAAGAAGACAGAGGAGACTTAATAAAGCGCCAATATTGATCCGTCTGATTCAACTCACATTACTATTGAGCATTTCAGTTGTGCCCCTTGCCATCCTGATTGCACTGCTCTGTGTAACTCTGATTCCTTTCACTATAGTCAAACAAGGAGAAAGCCTCCACATAGCGGGAGAAGCTTAAGAAGCTGAGCCAAAACACAGACGCGGCTAATCAGAAAGTCACACTGTGATGTGAAGAAGTCTATTAGTGCAAAGATTGAATATGGAATGAACCAAAAGGAAAGGAACAACTTTTCACAAAGTGAAAGTGATGTGTGAGAGGAGTATAGCATACAGGGGGCTTAATAGATTCAAACTACAGATACAATGTAAAACAGACTCCGAGGTAGCTTAAGAGTTGGAGTGCCTTGGCATCTCTCAAAGCAGTGTGGGTTAATACTATGGCTGGCACAGAGGAAGATAGACTGCAAAAAATGAGGGAAGATTGAGATGTGCAATAGTGATTTGAGATGGCCGAGACTAATTATTCCCCGGCGATGTGCTTTTATCTACGATGGGGAGATAAAAGAGAATGAGGGGGGAGGCAAATGAGAGGCAGGGGAAGAGAGGGAGAAAGGGCCGGGGTATGCTAAAAAAACACTAGCATGTGTACCATACTATACCCATACACAGATACTTGATCATCAGCAGGAAGGGACAACAATGGATCTATATATTTTTTGTTAAACTCAAAATGTTAACACTAAAACAGTACTATGGAGTGTTTTAGACTCTCTGCTCATTGTTTTGGTTATACAGGCATCAACTATTGTTTTTGGTTTGTTGTAGTTGCTTGCAACAACTCATTTGAAGCTGCAGCCCAAAACTATTTTAAGCAAAACAGCCACAGTACTTTACCTCTCTAGCAAACATCAGACCAATGCGTGACCATATATTTCCCTGAGCCATTGTAGAGCATAAAGCAAAGCTATACGTTTAATACGGTTATATTATGTCAAATGTGTGTTTAAATATTGTAATATTGCCCCAAAGTGACTAAAGAATCCCCAATTATCTCAGAAATCTTGAAGTCACCTATTTTCGCCTATACTGTATACACCTTAGCTTAAGCCTTAAAGCAAAGATAGGTGTGCTAGTGCTAGAAGCTAGCTTGATGCTAACAACAATTACACACTTGTGTCTATTGACACCAGATAAAGCTAGTTTACATGGTCCAATTTTAGCCAGAAACTCTCAAACAATGAGTAACACATGCGCACTTCTTCTCTCAAAGTGAAAAACATACGTTGGAAAACATTAACAACTTGTGCTTACAACTCTACGGTGTTTTGCGAAAGGTAAATATACCTTATGAGGCGAAAAATAGTGACGTGAGGTTCCAGCTTTCACTTGTTGAGTGAGGTAGAGGAGCGCCGAGTTTCCCCCTAGTGGATCCCCGAGGCATTACCAACAGATCGACGCACAATTAACCCACACAGATAAATCACCTTTAGCATCACTAGCTATAAATTAATCAAACTTGCCAGCACTACAACATAATAACTGTAACTGAAATGAAATAATATGTTGTGAAAATGGATACTTTAACAAAACTGTAATGATCTATTTTTAAAAAAAAAGTTAAGTAAGTTTGTCCCAAATTATTTGTAATTATATATCACACAATAAGACAGATATAATGTGAATAACTTATGTCACCAACATGACATTAAATTCAGAGTCACATCCTCAATCACCAAAGATGTATTATTCTCTTCCAATGAATGCCCAAACTCAACCCAACTCCAGCTACAGCTATGCTGATGTGTGCTTCCTGTGCAATACAAAGCAATTATTGTGTGAGCGAGGCCCCTCATTTGCATACAGCACAGCTCATGCCAGAGGATGCTCCCTGGGGCACGGCGCAGGTCGACTGAGTGTGTGTCTGTGTGTGTGCATATGTGCGTGCAGGTTAGTGTGTCAGACGGACGCTCACAACCCAGTCTGCAGCATAGTCAATTAAATCAACTCTCTCATTAATGAGAACAGTGCCAGGTACAAATGCCTGCCCTGAGGTGGGAATTCATAATTGAGAAGAACTTGGAGAATACATTTCTAAAGTAACAAGAGCTATACTCAGGGACATTTCTCCTATTTTCCTCCAAAATACTAATATTAAAAAGGTGAAAACAACCCTTAAAACGTATCCTTACCAGCATCAGCCTTTAATGTCAAATACATACAATGGAAATATACTGTATATTCCTTTATAAAATAATACGGCACACAAG